AAAAAAAAAATAGGAATAAAATATAAAACATCACAGAAAATTGGAAGAAATTACTATGAAACATAACAGAAACAAAAATAGTGTATATAGCTAAAACCCTAAAAATTATATGAATAATAGTTTGTTTTATTTGACTAAACTAGTTAAAGTGCTGAAATTTGTTTGTTTGTTTGTTTTCGCGCAAAGCTACACGAGGGTTATCTGCGCTAACGTCCCTAATTTAGCAGTGTAAGACTAGAGGGAAGGCAACTAGTAAGGCTACTCTTTCATCAACGAATAGTGGGATTGACCGTCACATTATAACGCCCCCACGGCTGAAAAGAAAGACAGTCAACTATTAAAACTGAACTCATAGTTTGATAGACAGTATTTCAGTAAGTACCAAAATTAACATTTTTTTTAATTATACGTTCTCAGGTCATAATTCCGAGACAAGCTTGAATGACTGCTATTATATGCGTGCCAAGTATAGTATAAAAACTTGTGATATGAACGTGGTTTGATTGGCAAGTCGGATATTACACGATGTTATTCTGAAAGATTAGGATTTCCAGTCCTTTTTCAGTGTTTACTATACAAGATGGATTAGGGTTACGTACTTTACCAAATGATATCTATTACTTTGAATTTTTGCCCCCCCCCCAGTAGCACAGCGGTATATCTGCAGACTTACAACGCTAGAATCCGAGTTTCGATACCCGTGGTGGGCAGAGCACAGATAGCCCAGTGTGTAGCTTTGTGGTTAATAACAAACAAACAAATAATACTTTGGATTTTTTTTTAATTAGACACTAAAATTTAAGTGCTTGAAATTTTGTTAACAAATTAAATTAATAAATACTTTTGTTCGATCTGAGGTAATTCATCACTTTGATTTTGGTTTCGATCCCCTGGAATGTATAAATGTATGCCATGTTCACGTCACTGGGCTTTTAAGCCAATGAAAGACCACCTTTCCAAAATTCAAACCACATCACATATATTGTTCACTTTAGTTGTAGATGAATTTACATATAATAACGATTTATTCAGTTAAAATTACTGACAACTGTTCGAGAAAGTTTACAGTCAAATGTTTACGTACTTTAATACGTATCTACACGTTTATTTATAAAGCTTACAACAGTAAACAACACCCGAAATAACGATATAAATTCCGGAAACCAAAGTTTGGATAACAAATTAAAACTTCAGACTATAAAGTATACAGACGGTAAAATGTCCGTTAGTTTACATTGTACATAGTTTACATGGTATACATAATGTATACGTGCGACTTTATGAACCCGATTTATTTTTATTTGGTTGGGAGAGTCAATATAGAAACAAATATTACAAAGATACCACTTCGAAACTTCAGTAACCTTGAATGTTTAAACGTTTAGCACAAGGGCAGAGCTGAACGGACTACGCAGAGAATAAAAAGGCAGAAAGCAGGGGCACAAAAAGATTTTAGACTGAAGTTTCTGTCAAACTGCACTTTGTATAACTTATCTAAATTCTATAATGCTGCGTATTATAACACTTTTGTACGGTCTTAAATACAAAGACAGAACTACGCATGCGCTTATAAGTTGCCGATCGGAACTAAAATAAATGTAGTTTTATTATTTTTATTGTTTTTGAATTT